CTGATCCTAAAATTCACATAGAAAATCAAGGGACCCAAAATAGCTGTAACAATCTTGAAAAAGAACAAAGTTGAATGAATCACATCCTGCTTTCAAAACTTACTAATTAAGACAGTGTAATATTGGCAAATGTAGTCCTATAGATGCAAATAATACAATTTAGAACCCAGAAATAAACCCTCACATTCTTAACTAATTATTTTTAACAAAGGTGCAAAGACATTTCAATGGAGGAAAGAATAATGTTTTCAACACCTGGATGACAAAGTGAAAAAAAGTGTTGGACTTTCTACCTCATACGACATAAAAATATAATTCAAAATCAATCAGCAACCTAGGTATGACAGCTAAAACTGCAAAAATCATAAAAGAAAACAGGCATGAATCTTCACAACCTTGGATTAGGCAATTGTTTCTGAGATATAAGACCAAAAGCAGAAGCAGCAAAAGAGAAAAAAAAAAAAACAGATAAAATGAACCTTGTCAAAATTTAGAACATTTGTGTTTCCAAGGACACTATCAAGAAAGTGAGAACACAGACCAAGAATTGGGACAAAATATTTGTAAATGTTATCTCTGATAAGGGCCTAACATCAGACTATGTAAAGAACTCCTACAATTCAACAATAAAAATAACCCAGTTGTAAAACGACAAATGATTTAAATGGACACTTCTCCAAAGAAGACATACAAATATCCTATAAGCACACAAAATGACACTCAATGTCACTGGCTGTCAGAATGCAACTGCAACAACAATGAGGCATCACTTCATACCCAGTAGGATAGCTATAATAAAAAAGACAAAGCCAAGTGTTGGCAAGGATGTGGAGAAGCCAGATTCTTCAGACACTGCTGGTGAGGGTATAAAATGGTCCAGCCACTTTGGAAAACAGCCTGGAAGTTTCTTAAACTGTTACACACAGAGCGACTGTATGAGTCAGTTTTCTGATAATGGTTAACTAAGTTTTAAAAAAAACCATTCCATAGAATATTAGCTATCTTTTTTCCCTAGATATTAGGATGTACCAGAAACTTAAAAGGAAAAAGCCTAAATATGCACAACACAGAGTTTCTTCTGCATTTTTAGACCATCAACACTTTAATAACCATATATGTTCACACTCAGTGTACTGGTTATTTCTAGAACTTAGATCATTCTGCATGGCTGTCTTCCTAGCTTCAAGAGGCTACAAAAGGTTAAGCATTCTGAGATAATTCCCCTGCACTTCCCTGCTTATTATGCTGAGGAAACTGAATACATCTGATAGGGCATCAAGGATATTTGTTATTCACGATGTAATGCTATTCACTCCATTTTCTTTACACAAGAGGCTCAGAAATTTCTACCTCCTGCCCAGGTTTCCCTCACATCACAGCCTTCAATCCAGACCTCTCACATAGGACCATACAATACAGCCTTCCTCCTTAGAACTTGCTCATTTGTAATTCATGATTATTTGAACATGGTTTTTTTTTTTGACTATTCTATTAGCTTCCCAGAGACAAGGCCCCTGCTCATCTTTCACTCACGACTGCATCCTTAACACCTGACACTCACAATGTATGAAGAAACTGTAGTCAACATGCTCTAACAGTACAGGCATACCTGGGAGATACAGATCACTCCTTAAGACACGTCACAATACAGCAAATCACAAAAATTGTCTCATTTCTCAGTGCATATAAAATGTATATTTACACTATACTATATCCTATTAACTGTGCAAATAGCATTATGTCTAAAAAACAATATACCTTAGTTTAAAAATATTTCATTGCTAAAAGAAAAAATGCTAATCAGCATCTGAGCCTTCAGTGAGTGGGAATTCTTTTGCTGGTAGAAGGTCTTGACTCAATGTTGATGGCTACTGACCGATTGAAGGTTGGGGTGGTTGCGTTCATGTAGAGACAGACAGCAATGAAGTCCGCCACATCAGCTGACTCTTTCATGAAAGATCTCTTTGTAGCATGTGATGCTGTTTGACAGCATTTTACCCACAGCAGAATGTCCTTCAAAATTGGAGTCATTCTTGCAAACCCTGCCACTACTTTAAGTTTACGGAATATTGACTCCTTTTGTCATTTCAACAATGTTTACAACATCTTCACCAGGAGTAGATTCCATCTCAAGAATATACTTTATCTGCTCATTCATAAGAAGCAACTCCTCATCTGCTCAAATTTTTCCAGAGATCAGCAGCAATTCAGCCACAACTTTAGGCTTCACTTCTCATTCTGGTTCTCTTCCTATTTCTAGCTCATCTGCAGTGACTTCCTCCACTGAAGACCTGAACCCCTCAAAGTCATCCATGATGGTCTGATCAACTTCTTGATCAAACTCCTATTCATGTTGATGCTCTGACCTTCTCCCATGAATCACCAATATTCTTAATGGCATCTAGGAGAACAAACCAGTTTCAGATGGTTTCTAATTGACTTTGCACAGTTCCATTAGAGGAATCAGTATCTATGGCAGCTAGTCTTATACAATGTATTTCTTAAATAGTAAGACCTGAAAGTAAAAATTACCCCTTGATCCATGGGCTGCAAAATGGATGCTACGTTCGCAGGTGTGAAAACAACGTTCATCTTCCTGTACATCTCCATCAGAGTTCTTGTGTGACCAGGTGCACTGTCAGGCAGCAGTAATATTTCAAAAGAAATCTTTTTCTGAGTTGTAGGTCTTAACAATGGGCTTAATATTCAGGAAACCATGCTGTAAACAATTATGCTGTCATCCAGGCTTTGTTGTTTCATTTATAGAGCACAGGGAGAGTAGATTTCACATAATTTTTAAGGGCCACAGAATTTCCAGAATGGTAAGCCAGCACTGGCTTCAACTTCAAATTACCAGATGTAATAGCTCCTAATAAGGCAGTCAGCTTGTTCTTTGAAGCCAGGCATTGATTTCTCCTGTTTTCCTGTGAAAGTTGTAAGTAGCCTCTTCTTTAAGTCTGAGGCTGAAAGTCTGTTGTTTCTTGTAGCCACCTTTATCAATTATCCCAGCTGGATCTTCTGGATAGCTTGCTGCAGCTTCCACATCAGCACCTGCTGCTTCACCTTGTACTCTTACGTTACGGAGAGTTTCCTTAAACCTCATAAACCAACCTCTTCTAGCTTCCAACTTTTTTTCTGTAGTTTCCTAACCTCTCTCAGCTTTCATACAACTGAGGAGAGTTAGGGTCTCATTCTAGATTAGGCTTCGGCTGAAGTGAAAGTTGCAGCTGGTTTAATCTTCTGGTCAGATCACTCCAACTTTCTCTATGCCAGGAGTCTGTTTTGCTTTCTTATTTGTGTGTTCACTAGAGTAGCACTTTTAATTTTCTTCAAGAATGTTTCCTTTTCATTTACAACTTGACTAACTGCTTGGCACAGGAGGCCTGGCTTCTGGCCTGTCTTGGCTTTCAACATGCCCTCCTCACTAACTTAATCATTTCCATCTTTTAAAGTGAGAGACATACAACTTTTCCTTCACTTGAATATTTAGAGGTCATTATAGGGTTATTAATTGGTTAATTTCAATATTACTGTGTCTCAGGGAATGAGGAGGCATAAGGAAAGGGAGAGAGATGGAAGAGGGACCAGTCAGTGGCCATATCAGTTGGGTTCACTGTCTTATATGGGCATGGTCCGTGGTATCCCCAAACAATCAACAGTGACATCAAAGATCACTGATTACAGATTACCATTACAGACATAGTAATAAAAAAGCTTAAAATATTGTGAGAATTACCAAAATTGGACACACACACATGAAGTCAGCAACTGCTGTTGAAACAATGGTGCTGGTAGACTTGCAAAAAATACCTTTGCGAGGCTCAAGAAAATGAGAGATGCTGTACCTTCTTTTCTTCTGATTTGTTCTTCTAATCTGCCATAGATTTAGAAGCCATATAACTGTTTTATCACTGCATATAAAATAAGACAATGCAGGCAGTGCATGGGAGACCTCATCTCTCTCTCTCTCTCTGTCCATCCATTCATCCATCCATGTATCTAGAGAGATTGGTCGATCTTTTTTTTTTTTTTTTCTTTGGGACAGGGTCTCACTGTGTTGCCTAGGCTGGAGTGCAGTGGCACAATTCTGGCTTACTGGAACCTCCGCCTCCCAGGTTAAAGTGATTAGTCCGCCTCAGCCTTCTGAGTAGCTGGGATGTCAAGAGTGTACCACCACATCCGGCTAATTCTTTTGTATTTTTAGTAGAGATAGGGTTTCACCATGTTGGCCAGGCTCGTCTCAAACTCCTGACCTCAAGTGATCTACCCACCTTGGCCTCCCAAAGTGCTGACATTACAGGTGTGAGCCACCACGCTCGGCCTATACCTCTGTCTGTCTGTCTGTCTGTCTATCTAAAGTATGGGAATTGTAGTGAAGATACTTTGTGAAAACTTTTATGGCTTCTTGAGAGACAAAGTTTTGGATTCTCAGTTGTGGTTCAAATAGTGGAGGCTGCAGGCTATCTTGGGAATTAAGTCCAATGAAAGTGTGAAAAGGACATAAAAATATAGGCTGCTTAGAGGCAGCAAACCACCTGGTTACGTATGCACCTATGCAACAACCCTGCAAGACCTGCACATGTACCCCAGAACCTGAAGTAAAACTAAAAAAAAAAAATACAGGCTGCTGAACTGTGAAGAGGTGCTAAAACCAAATCTTGACACCACTTAGCAATTAAGGAATATCCACTTTCAAAAGAGCATTTATCTTGGGAGAAGTAAATTTTCCATTTCATTTAGACCACATTAATAAGATCATTTTTTAAAACACTACAATTATCTGTTAGTAATAAAATGTCCTTTTATACATCAGATGGCCAATCATGCTTACCATATTTTAATGCTATGTGGCCCATCATAAAAACTTATGTTTACATCTCAAATAGGAAATTATATTTATAAGCACACTAGTGAAAAAAAATCACTGTAAATAAATATCTGAAATAATATGATTTTACAAAAGGATTCTTTTTATCCCCATCCATAAAGTGGTCACTTACCTGCATTAAGAGCTGTTAAGAAATTTTTTCTCGAAGGACCTAAGATATAAAAGAAATATATGTAAAATACATGTTTTATTTGACATATCACACAAAAACAAACCATGTTGATAAGAATTATTTTCAAAAATTATCTCTAAATTTCAGGTTCCAGGTGGGAAATACCACTGAGAGTCAACCAACTTTTGTCAAGTGCGTTTTAAATGTAAGATGATATTCCACGTAACATCAAAATGTTGAAGAATGATATGAAGTTATCATCACAAATTAAATAGGATCAGCTTTAATAGGAAAAGCCACAGTATTTTTTCAATCAAGAAGAGCTGAGGTTCAAGTTTTAACAGCACTGAATCCACACATTTACTGTGCACATTAACACTATTCTCATGCCGGCAGAGCAGGCGTCAGACTTCACGAAGAATAATCACTTTCCAAAACTACCCATTTCTATTCAGCTATGAAGAAAAATATAAGCTTTGCTGCCAAACTGAATAAAATATAAACATCAGGAGTGGTTTTTTTCTTTCTTTCTTTCTTTCTTTGTTTTTTTGAGACAGGGTCTGTCATGTTGCCCAGGCTGGAGTGCAGTGGCACAATCTTGGCTCACTGCAACCTCTGCCTCCCAGGTTAAAACGATTATCCCACCTCAGCCTCCAGAGTAGCTGGGACTTCAAGAGCCTTCAGGAGCATACCACCACATCCAGCTAATTCTTTTGTATTTTTAGTAGAGATGGGGTTTCACCATGTTGGCCGGGCTGGTCTCAAACTCCTGACCTCAAGTGATCCACCCACCTCAGCCTCCCAAAGTGCTGGCATTAGAGGTGTGAGCCACGACGCTCAGCCTTTACCTCTATGTATCTATAAGAAATCTATGAGCGCTTCTACTTAACATGAAATAGTCATCTCTAGCACATAATCATCTGCAAATGCTAGTTAGAACAGCTGCCAATGTTCTATCTGAAATTTTACAGAGATGAAAATTTCTTAAAATATGTGGCTCTTATCAATGGGAAGTACTGATTCCCACGCAAGTAAAACCGCTCTGACACAAAAAACCTATACATTCAATAGTGAGGCATTTTAGAATTCTCAGTCCCCTGTTCTACAAAGCTGTTCATGGAATCTCATTCTCTGAAAGTTATTTTAGTATCGAAGTTCAATAGCATTAACTTTGTTACTGCTGTGTGGACCATGAGGCTTTATCATCATCAATAAAAACCACAGTTTTCCATCTTGATGTCAACCCAGCAAAAGGTCATTTGATGCCTCCGAAATTTTATTAAGTCACTAGACAAATGACAACCTGCTGCACACTGAAAAATTCAACGTACTCCTAAAATTCATGCCTATTTTCTTTTCTATTCCATACAAAGAAAAGGTATTGACATACATTCACCAAACTCAAGTACCACATGACGCTTTAAACACACACTCACAGAGACAGACACATGTTAAGAAGGATGCTGTGACAGCGTAACACCTTTTAGAAGGTTACTTAGTAACAATCCGAAGACTGTTTCAGACAGGTTAACCCAGTAATTTCTCCTTCTGGGATATCCATAAGTAACTAGAATCTGAAAGAATGAACTATCACTCACATTTGAAGAGGTTCATTTCAGTACTAATACACCCCAAGCAAAGTCCACTTCATAGTGGACAACTTCTGACAACTTCTACAACCATAGAATTTGCAAACAGTAGACTGCTGCATAGCTGTTTAAAGTGAACAAGCTTTCATGATATACCACCAACTTAATAAAAAGCAAGATACAGAAGAGTATATTCATTATTACCCCAGTTTTGCTGGAGTAAAAACAAAACACATATATATGCAGAGGGAAAAAAAGTCAGAAGGAAATGTGACAGCAATTTGTATGTTTCTGTATTTTCCAAATTCTGTAACATAAATGAGGGTCTCATTTTATAGGTCAAGTTTCTCATTCATAATTATTCTCTCAGGCTTCGGTTAAGCTTTAGTTCACTAAGCACAAAGACAGCTTTTTTTTTTTTTTTTTTTTTTTGGTGACAGAATCTCACTCTGTCGCCCAGGCAGGAGTGCAGTGCAGCAATCTCAGCTTGCTGCAACCTCTGCCTCCTGGGTTCAAGTGATTCTTGTGCCTCAGCCTCCCAAGTAGCTGGGACTAAAGGTACACACCACCACGCCCAGCTAATTTTTTTATTTTTAGTAGAGATGGGGTTTCACCATCTTGGCCAGGCTGGTCTTGAGCTCCTGACCTCAAGTGGTTCACCTGTCTTGGCCTCCTGAACTGCTGGGATTACAGGTGTGAGCCACCGTGTGTGGCATAAAGCAGACTTCTGATGTGCTTTGACAAAGCTGCATGAAAACACTGCACATCAAGTATATATCACATATTTTGTAAACCTGAAAGTTACTTTTAATAGTCACAGTAAATACGAAGTGAGCGATAAAAGAAGGAATAGAGATAAAGAACATGTAGGGCCAGGCATGGTGTCTCATGACTGTAGTCCTGGCACTTTGGGAGGTTGAGGTGGGCGGATCACAAGGTCAAGAGATCAAGACCATCCTGGCCAACATGGTGAAACCCCGTCTCTTCTAAAAATACAGAAATCAGCTGGCGTGGTGATGCATGCCTGTAGTCCCAGTTACTTGGGAGGCTGAGGCAGGAGAATCGCTTGAACCGGGAGGCAGAGGTTGCTGTGAGCCAAGATCGTGCCATTGCACTCCAGCCTGGACAGAGCAAGACTCCATCTCCAAAAAAAAAAAAAAAAAAAAAGAATATTTAGAGGAAGAACACTGTCTTGGACCAAAGACACGAGACACAAGTACAATAATAAACATGAAACATCTACCCTGACGAAAAGTAAATCATGCATTTCTACTCCCATGTCACTCTCCTAGAGCACTATCTTAGAATAACTTAACTCTACAAGTTCTGTTATTCTTACTTTATGCCTTTGTTCTGCCTGCTGATTTATATGTCATGATTTTTAACTGTAGAACTTACCGACTCTCAGAACAATTTTCTCAGTGCAAAAACATATCTCTTAACACATTTTTAATCATTGTTAAATATACCACAAACCTAATTGTTAAAATTTAACTTTCTACAAGCCAAGAACTTTAAGCATCTTGCCCTCCCTCTTCTAACCACAGTGAGGACCATACCTTTTGGAGGAGTTTTCAGCAAGTGAACATGAGCCCTGGATATCAAAGGCTTCAAATAAAAGGATCCTGAGGAACCATTTTGAAATGCTGGTTTTGGAGGTTTCTCCTCATATTTGATGACAGCAGCATTACTCGCTGTAATAAAACAGAAAAGAACATTTTATTATATAAATACAGTTTTGACCTTCCAAATTTATTCCTTTGTCCTTGAATCAACACATGCTCAATAAACACCTATGACCGGCAGTCATGACTGAACGATGTGAGGACAGCGTGGATAACAGGTAACTTATGTGCTCAGGGATGTGAAATAAAGGCTGCAATCACAGTGACCAGACATCCTGTTTTGCCTGGCACAGTCCAAGTTATGCATCTTGTCCAGTTCAGCTTTCATCCCAGATAAAAGTTGGGGAAGAAATAATACGGCCATTCATGCAATGTAACAAGGATGCCCCAGGTGCAGCTAGGAAGTGCACCCATCTCCATGGGGACGAGGAAGAATTCACGCAGCCAGCTACTTAATGACAGAACAGTAACATACAGACTACTTGGTAGCTATAAGGATGAGAGGATGAGATCGGGTTCAAATCCTCACTGCTGCAGCAAGGAGCTAAAATGCCAACTTCTTCCCTGAACAAAGAAAGTTTGCTCCAAAGCAAAAACATAAAAGGGAATCTCACTTGAATAACAAAAACTGTCTTTTATATTATGTGTAAAAATTTCCACCCCCCACCAACCCAGACTGGATTTGTTTCTAAACAATATCAGTATCCAATTCTAAGCACCCAATTTTATTCTACTATTCAACACTTATACATTTCTTTATTAACAACTCTGGCCCCTTTTCTCACTTCACTCATTTAGCAAAGGGTTAAGATGCCTACCTTGTTTACAAACACAGTATAAGTAGACAGCTAGAAATTTTTCGCTATACTAAATTATTCCAACTGCCACAATAGTGCTTAGACGCATCACATTCAAACTTTGCACAGGCATGCTATTATTTTCCCTAATCCACACCCAGTCCCTGTACAATGAGCCATCTGTTAATTGTTCTTGTGCCCAAATACCATTCCTAATATTAGGTCAAATCAACACAGAGCTTTTCCTCCTGCTGAGAAAATTCTGTCAACTTCCTGTCCTTTTCTCCAGCTCTCACCTTCGCTAGAACCTAGAGACCTGGTATTTCCAAAGTTAACAGGAAGCTAACAGGAATGATAGTATTAAAGATTCTGCTATTTTAACATTCAACAGAACGCTTTTTAGATGTTTATACAAAATGGATATTGGGTTTCAATTAGCATTTTAGCTTTTGCTGAATCAAATCCAACAAACAAAATTAGAGAGTTTGACCATGGAATTTTAACAATCTGGTTTTAGTCTTACTTTTCTTGAAGCCATATGTTATTACATTCAGCAACAAATAAGTCACTTATTCATATTTTAAAAATTAAAATGAGTGTCCGGGCATGGTGGCTCATGCCTGTAATCCCAGTACTTTGGGACGCCAAGGTGGGTGGATCAGGAGGTCAAGAGATTGTGACCATCCTGGCCAACATGCTGAAACCCCGTCTCTACTAAAAATATAAAAATTAGCTGGGCATGGTGGCACATGCCTGTAGTGCCAGGCACTTGGGAGGCTGAGACAGGAGTATCACTTGAACCCAGGAGGCGGAGGTTGCAGTAAGCTGAGATGGCACCACTGCACTCCAGCCTGGCAACAGAGCAAGATTCTATCTCAAAAACAAAACAAAATTAAACTGAGTTCAATTTACAAAACTAGTATGAAATTGTGTGATTCTAAATTCATGCTTTCGTAAACTTTAGACACAAAGGCCTGCAGTTCATGAAGAGATCAATAAAAAGGTTTCTCACTAAAGGACACATTTCTCATGAGGCCTGATACTCCTGTCCCTTGGCTCACTGTCACATGCAGAATAGGAGGTGCTGGAAACCAGTGGTCTCAATGCCACTTTTCAGACTCAATACAACACTCGATCAATCCAGCACCAGACCTACCAACTTCGTAACACAGAAAAGGAAGTCAGAATCCATACTGCAAGGATAAAATGTCTGCTTCGACTCAGGTACAAACACACATGTATTTACATTTTATATGCATTTACATGAAAGCTATATGTACAAGGTATTTATTCACATACCCTATGATCATCGACGATTGTACATGCTTTCTGCCTTCCAAATGGCAGGCACAAACTATGCTGAACTGAACATATCTGTATAACTAACACTTAATATCTCTCTCTCAATCTCTCTACTCACTGTAGTCTAGGCTGGCCCACTGCTTTCTAGTAAACCCCAACTTGAAGGATGTGTATCATCATGAGGCAGGATGCTCAAGTATTTCCCCTGCCCTCTAGTTCCATTCCTAACATGGCAACTGGCTGGGTATCCTGATGCTATCTAAATTTTCCTTTACCCAGAGTCATTATATCCAAACAATAAAGTCCTCAGTGGCAACAGTTTCAATATAAAAGACGCATAATAGTTTCAAGCAATGGAACAGGATATAAAATATCCAAGTTCTGGTGCTGACTTGGCCACTGCCTAGCTGTGCTGAACCACCTGTCTATGAATAACAAGGGTCTGCATATCGGGAAAGGGAATAGACAGTACATTCGCTTTCACAGGGGCCCAACTGACCGTGGCATTCAGTCCCACTGAGGCTGGATGCATCCTCAGAATCATCCTAAAGACACTGTTCTAAAGAGCCGTGGGCACTAAAGACAGTTGGTCTGGAGAGACAATATGTAAAATTCCCCATGTGGCCACCTATTTCTCGACCTGATCTGTTATGCAGTTTAAAACTAACTCTTTGGGTCGGGCCAGGTGGCTTATGTCCGTAATCCCACTACTTTGGGGCCCCAGGCGGGCGGATCACCTGAGGAGTTCAAGACCAGCCCAACCAACATGGAGAAACCTGTCTCTACTGAAAATAGAAAATTAACTGGGCATGGTGTTGCATGCCTGTAATCTTAGCTACTTGGGAGGCTGAGGCAGGAGAATCACTTTGAACCCAGGAGGTGGCGGCAGTGGTGAGCTGAGATAGTGCCATTGCACTCCAGCCTGGGCAACGAGAGCAAAACTCCATCTTAACAAACAAAAAACAAAAGTGCCCCTTTGTCATCTTTGGTTCTAACTATCTCAATTATGCCAGAATAATAGATTTTCTGGAATCCTTATCTTCATTTCCCCATGGCCAAAGTGTGGTTCAAGTGAAATAAAGGAGCTGTTGAGTATAAAAGGAAAAGTGAACAGATATTCTCAAAAAAGCCCAAGCAAAAGAAATGATTTTCCTATTAGAAAAGGGCTTCTCAGGCTTGGCACAGTGGCTCACACCTGTAATCCTAGCTTATACCTGTAATCCCAGCACTATGAAAGGTCGAGGTGGGTGGGTCACTTGGGGCCAGGAGTTCGAGACCAGCCTGGCCAACATGACAAAACCCTGTCTCTACTTAAAATACAAAAATTAGCCAGACATGGTGGTGTACACCTGTAATCCCAGCTACTCAGGAGGCTGAGGTGGGAGAATTGCTTGAATCCGCAAGGCTGCGGTTGCAGTGAACCGAGACCGTGCCACTGCACTCCAGCCTGGGCGACAGGGCGAGACTGTCTCAAAAAAAAAAAAAAAAAGCTTCTCATTGTTCCAGACTTCTATCTGCAAACTAACATTCATAGTACATTCTAACACCTAGTGAAAATTAGCTTTTATAACATCATGTATATATACACAGAGCCAACATTCTGTTCATTTTTGAATTTTATGTGAATCAGTTTAACACTCCCCACTGTGCCAGATCATCTGCCCACCTGGCTTAAAACCAAAGACCTACTGAAAACTAAGCTTTCGAATTTCAAAAGCAAGATCACTCAACTATACAACAACAAGAACGTCTCACACGCACCCTAAGAAAACAAGAAAAGAGAAAGCACGAGAACAAAGTTAACAGTGGTCTGGATATTTCCTTCATAAACAGTCCATTTGTACTGACATGTTTTGTGATGTAGAGCCTAAAGAATCTACTGCCTGGTCCCATTTGGCCTCACCCACGGCAGACATCCCTATTTGAACACAAAACTTTCTCCCTGAACCTGGAAGCAGCCTGAGAAACAACTGACACCGTAATATAGGTGAATTCTTATCAACTAACCAGTGTTGGCAGGTGAGACAATACTCACTTGCCATTCCTGTTGAGAGAGAAAAAAAAAAAAAAAAACTAAAGGTAAATAAGAGCCACCCTATTCTTTCCCAACTTAATCGCCTGAACAACTCAAAACGCCATCCTGCCAAACAATTAGGCCCTGTCTTACTGCAGTGAAAAGGGCCAGAGACATTTGTTGCTGCAAGGATTTTGAAGATGATCCGGTCCTCCCTTGTCATTGATCAGAGGAGAACATGGAGGCTAAGAGAAGAGAAACTTCACAGAGTTAGTAGCAAAACTAAAGTGGGGCCAGACACGGTGGCTCATGCCTGTAACCCAGTACTTTGGGAGGCTGAAGTGAACAGATCGCTTGCAGTCAAGAGTTCGAGACCAGCCTGGCTAACATGATGAAACCCCATCTCTACTAAAAATAAAAAAACTAGCTGGGCATGATGGTGCATGCCTGTAATCCCAGCTACTTGGGAGGCTGAGGCAGGAGAATTGCTTGAACCCAGGAAGCAGAGGTTGCAGTGCGCCGAGATCATACCACTGCACTCCAGTCTGGGCGACAAGAGCGAAACTCCATCACACACACACACACACACACACACACACACACACACACACACACACACACGAAACCTAAGGTGGGTCCAAGGTGAGTGCCCTTTTCTACATGTCACACCCCCCCTTAAGCCAGGGCTGGCCGTGAAGGTGAAGGGAAAGAGCACTCCATTTCTTTTATTCAGTCTCCTTCTGTTCCATTTCCAGGAGAATGCAAATAGCTTTGGTCTGCATCTCTTACATTTCCCCTCACCATCTGGCTGTCAAAAATAAACATGGTTTTGTGGCCAAAGTCGAAGGGGAAGTGAAGTCTTTGGACTTTATTTTCCTGCTAACATGGCAAAATTATACACTCTCCCAGGACCTCCTTCTAGATTGCACAATAGTCCCCAAACCTTCAACTCTGTTCCTAATCTACAATATATCATTTATTTTTATCCAGTTACTTTAATGATCTTAAAAACTGGATGTCAGGTATCTGAGTGTGAAAGAGCTTATAATGTTTAACCTCTATAAATGAGCACATTGGGTATAGAAACCACTGTGAAATGTTTTACATTAATATCCAAAAGGATCAATATCATAACTTTGAAATTTTCAACACCTAAAAGAACACACACAAAAGAACCTACTAAAATTCCCAAATAAGAAGAATTTATTGCCTTAGATATTTTCATTCAGTCATTTGAAAAACTTAGTAACATTATTTCTATAGGATTCCAAAGTTCCGAGAACCCAATGCTAAATTTTACAGCAGCACTGTGTTTTATCAGAAGTTCTTAAATGATGCCATTAATGATATCACATCACAAAGAAACAAGCAGACAAAGCAAGAAACCAATATTCATTAAAGGGATTCAAACACTTAAGCCAATATAAATCAGAACACTGATCAAAAGAGAAAGCTAATTCTTAAGATGACCATCCATTATCAGAAGCAGGAAAATTCAGCGCAAAATAATTTTTTTCATGTTTTGATAGTCTGTAAAAGTACATGTTAAATACTTTCAGGTACAACTTAGAAAAATAAAGATGTGATCTTCCCATTTTAATTTTAGAAAAGTGTTTTTCTATCCTTGCACAACTACCAACAACATACATACAAAAACTAGTTATTTAAGAAGAAATTAAACCACCAAATAGTCTTTGATAATAGGATAATTTCATGTGCCAGAACATCAACGATGCTGCTCAATTATATTAAGAGTGCCAAAACACGTAAAAGAGACAACAGGATCAGTTCTACACAGAAGCATTCACATCTTAAACATACATAAAAATGCCCCCATATACTACAATCACCATAAATTACAAGTTACAAAAATAGCAGTCAAAACATCCTAATCAATTTATTGAATAAAAATTTAAGCATGCTTACAAAGAAAAGAAACCAGAAATCGTCGACCTACTTTTTTTCCCCGTAAACGTGGCTAACAAAGGAATTATACAAAGGCTGTACGATCCCACGACCAGCAGTGTCAATAAGGTACCATCATAGTGCCTCTCTGAACCAGCCGGTGGGGTGAGTGTAGAATTGATAAAGATTTTTGAAGAAATATCAGTTTCTGTACAACTGCGAAATCCTCCTGGTACAGTCATTTAAAAGGATCAAAGCAAGCTTAAGCAGGAAAAACTGCAGCCATGTTCACTCTCATATCCCTCATGCTTGCTCTTAGTGAATTAGAATGGAGGAAGAAAAAAATGTGTAAGCTCCAAGGCACTACACAAAACAGATTAAACCAGCTAGCAAATCAAACTAAGAAAGAGACTCATTGATTTGAATGCTTAATCTGCAACAGGAACACATCGCCACTAGACAGGCTCTGTGGGTGTATGGTAAACTCCTTTGTTAAAAGACAAAAAGGAATGGACAAAAGCATTTTACAACCTCCTCAGGAGCATCAGACACGGTACGGAAACGGTGGCCAAGTCAACATGGATGTCGACAAAATGCGGGGCTACAGATTGTGTCTGCTTCAAGTGCCACAAATTCTGTTGCCACAACAGTTTTTCCAGAGCATGTTGGTGATTCTGTTTTGACAGTTTGTTTTTAAAATTGCATGACAAGACAGAGCTAGAGTGAAATCAACTTAAAATAATACACATGTGAATTACCTTTTCAAATTCAGAGTTCTCTCTTACATGCAAGCCTGATTTTGTGCCACAGCTTCAAAATTCAAACAATAAGCTGATCATAATCTTGTTTAATTTTAAGTCACATATCCAGTATTTCTGAAGTGCCAGGGTATGCAACCACTTACTCTCAGCTACTGCTGCTAGGTGACCTGTCAGAAATATGCTCATTAATTCGGTCATTAATTCAATGCCTTCTCTACAAAAAAATGCATTCTTAATTCCCTGACATACCTGCTGTGTGACTTTGGACCAGTGACATCTCTGAGCTTCAGTCACCTCATATATAAAAATCAGGGTAACAGTTGAAGTTACTTGAGAGCAAAAACTAAAAGCATATATGGTCATCCTAAAATACTGCTCCACACCCAGAAGAGCCCCATGAGCATTATTCCACTTTGTCCCCAGCTCCTAACCCAGAAGAGGAAATTGATCAGTCAAACTCAAGAGATCAGTTTGCTGTCCCTCTCCACACCCTTGTGTCTGGTTTTATCGGTATTCTCATCATTCACAGAAATACCTTCTTTTTCTCTTCAACTATTTTTTAGAATAAGGATCGTTTCTTTTATATCCCATGTCCCTCACTGTGACTATCATGGTGTCCATGCACAGCAGGCACTGCAAAATGGCTTAAATTTATGAATTATTTTGTGGGGAAATACAAAAAAGGAAATGAGAAAATAAGAACCAAGTCCAAATACATCTCTGGAATGAAAGAGGTATCTTAGTAAATTCACTCCTTTATACACAGAAAATAGAACTCATATTAACTGAAAACTTTAACACGATTCTCCTGAGTTTAAATTTTTTAGAATTAGGCTTCAAGTTATATTTGTCATATTATACAAACTCTAGGAGCCAAAGTTAAAGATCACAACACATATCCATAAGAGATAGTCTTTTGCAAAGTAAATAAAACTGAAGTAACCTTTTTTCTGATTCCAGTTAGAGTACAAATCCCCTGGGCTGCTACTCTCAAATCCCCAAAACACCATCACTTCAGGCAGTGCACTTTAGAATCCTTCATGCAAAAATACACTTTAACACACAATTATTTCAAGAGTGTTTTTCAAAGAATTTTGCTCTTTCTGCCAAACTTTCAGAGCAACTCCAGGGAAGCAGCATGCATATTTTTCCTGAAACCCCAGAAACAAAAATTCTAATTATTTGCAGAGCATTAGTTTTTCATGTAATGACTGTTTCAACAATCCCCAAAGTGTGATACCAAGTTGACTTACAATTGTTGCTGTAAGTGCTCAGCTCACTGTGGGTGCTGGCTATTGAGGGGGTGCTTCCTGTCCTCCGCAGCGCAGAACTTTTCAAAGATGCTTTAGATTTAGGAAGTAGTCTAGGCAAATTCACCCATGACGACTGTGCTGTTTTCAAGGATGTAGGTTTTCCTTGGGATTAAAAAAAAAAAAAAAGTTTCCATTGCCATTCGTCTTGCAAGCTGGCACTTTTTAAGCCTGTAAACTCAAACTTCTGCACTAACAACAAAGTCAAAACACAAAATGAATATTCGCAATCATGTAACTTCAGATGAAAGATGAAAGCTTCACGCAGACATGTTTATTTTTGATCATTTAGAGGCAAGAGAGCAGAAGTGATGAGGCAATTAGGATATGAGAAGTGTGGCAGTAACCCTGTCTCCTAAAGTAATTAGCTCGCACATGTTCTCTGAGGTAGAAGATCAGTCTGAAGAGTCACGAGAAAACAGCTTCTGGCAAAACTGAAATCAAAGAATAAACAAATTGATATGACCTCCCATACTGTTGACTAAAAAACAGTTATTCCATTAGCACAAAAGGCTATCATATAAAAAGTTAGTGGAAAAATTTTAAACTACCCGAACAGGAAGAAAAATGCAATTTGAAAGAAAAAATTTTATTTGAAAAATGCCTAGTGTTTTAACACCAGGTGGTGCTACACTATTCAGTTTCTTTTTCTTGCTCTCATCTTTTCTTCTTTACTCTCCACATAGTTTATCTGCCAAACTTCAAAGATCTTCACTCAAATTTCTAACTCTTTCTTGCAGTAAAAAATGCTTCCATTTATCAGTGAAATAAATATACAGGCTTCATATCCTCTGGCATCTCTGTAACTACAATCTCCTCATGCTCACATCTGCTACCTAAATATGGGCATTTCCCAAGTTCTATCTTTTGCTCACAACTCTCCCCACACCCATTCTCTTGGAGAATCTATCTTCTTTACTTTCCTCTAACCATCATCCTGTGCAGACGAAACCCATATTCTCATGTGCAGCCCCATTTTCCTTCTGAATCCCAAGGCTATTCATGTTTCAAAGTACTTAATGTGTACTTTAAATTTTCATCTTGGACTGACATGCTCCTGTTTATGCTAATTATAGCTCCACTGTTTTATTTAAAAAAAAAAAAAAAAGGCAGCAAAAGTTTTTGTAGAGAGGGAGTCTTCGCTTTGTTGCCCAGGCTGGTCTCAAACTTCTGGCCTTAAGCAATCCTCCTGCCTCAGCCTCCCAAAGTGCTGGAATTACAGGTGTGAGCCACTCTGCCCTATTTTTAATTTTTTTCCAGCTTCAAACCATTGGAATTGTCTTTTCTTCCCCAGATCCCCATATATTCTAGCACCATCTCCCAACGCTACCAGTAGTACCTAACTGAAGACTAACTAGAGTTGAAGACGACCTTTGATGAAAATGACAGTGTTGCATATCACTAAGGACCCTGTGAGTCAAGTAATGCTGCTGGAAAGTAATGCTCATTGCTCTGTTCCAGTGATTTCACTCATAAAAACCTCATCTAATGGACAGAAAGACATGGAAGCTCCTCAGGCCTGGCACTTGAAGTGACCACACTAAGCTCCCTCTTCGGCTCCAGCCTCACTACTGTATCCTTCTTCTACATCCATGTGTGCTCTGCTCCAGTCAACCTAACTTTCTCTCTGACACCAGGGCACATCACATGTTAGTCTAGTAATAGTCCACTAGGCACATCATTTCCTTTCAAAGACCTCTTCTTCCTCTCTTTGATTCCTTATTTAACCCCTCATGGAGTCGCCTAAACAACTGTATTACACTCCTAAAATCTTATCTTTCCATCCCTTCCAACTCCATCATGTTACTCTCCCGAATGTGAAAATTAAGGTCATGACCTGGTTTAAAATTTGGGATTCTCCACTATCTATGGCATGTGGCCCAGGGCAGCTTTAAATGCTGACCCTGCACAAATTCATAAACTCTCTTAGAACATTATGAGATTTTTTTTGCAATTTTTTTTAGCTCATCAGCTATTGTTAGCCTATTTTCTGTGTGGCCCAAGACAATTCTTCTTCCTTCAGTGTGGCCCAGGGAAGCCAAAAGATTGGATACCCCAATCTATAGGATGGTGATCTGATCTTCAATCCTTTTATTTAATATTTATTTTACATACATAAATAAAAGGCAACCCTACTCACTTTTTCCCCTTTAGGCCATGCCTCCAACCCTTCACACACACCTCCCTTAGTTTCTCTCTAGCCATTTCACTCTATTATTCTGCTTATGCCCATCCTTCTGATTGAATGGCCTCCTGTCTAGCCCCTCCCCTATTTCTGCCCAGTGAATGCCAAGTCAGCTCAAGATTCTCTTCTAAACCCTTGCTACTCATTTGCGACTCCACCCTAGGTCTACTGAATCGCCTGCAGCTTCACAAGATCGCCAGGTTTCTGAAGCACTATTGAGAACCAGGACCTCTTTGTGAGCTTATCCTGCCAGGACACCCTCCTCTGTGTACCATGGACTATGCCTGGCTTTCTGCTCTTGCCACATGCTTGCTTCTATCACAGTGTCTGCCTTCACATTCCTCTTGGACCATCTCTAAGGTTCTTGAGATCAGGAAGGGCACCTGATTCAATTCTGATCCTCAGGAACTGGCAACGGTCTAGCATGGAGTGAGCCTTAATAAATGTTTTCTCAAATAATTTATTTTTCTTTTAATGCCAGTAGTAAATCATACATTTTTATCATGTGTTCTCCCATCATCTACACTGAAGCATTCAACGCTTAATCCATTTTACAAGCTTACAAGCTTATGTCTCTTCAGTCTATTAGCTAGCGACTTTCTTCTTTACATCCTTTACAATAATTAGCAACTACTAGATAGCAAATACCCGTTTTAAAAAATTTATCTTTAGCCACTAGTTTTACTTGCTTTAGGAGAAACAGAAAAACAGATTTTTAAACTATAAAGTTACCAAACTGCTGCCCCTTCAGCAAAAACACTGATGAGTCATCATCATCGCAACTAATAAGCAAGGTTTGGCAAGTAACAGATCAAACAATGCAGCCAAGGCTTCTGAAGTTTTGGAAATTAGCTTCTTTTTCAGAAATGCATGCCTCATAGCTTTGTTTCTAAACACATTCTGAGTTTGTAGACATTTCTGAGTGTGCCTTGGAATTACTACAGAAGACCTGTACCTTCACATAGCCTGCACTAAAGGAAAGCTTAGCTCTGCACCCAAATATCATTTTCGTGACCCGCCCTATCTCATCATCACCCCATCCAGGCCCATCCCCTACACCTACTGCCAACTTTTCGTCACCAAAGTCTTCCTGATTCCACCATGACGCTTGACTAATGAGTACTGAGGATACGAAATAAATGCCGATTTCACCAAAAGATTCATTCCTTTGATAGTGAGAATAATCTTAACCGTGTGTGACTATTACTATCCCAGTTTATTGATGAGCAAACTACTCAGGTAGTTAAATGGCTTACTCGTGTCACACACCCAGCCGGTGACAGTAAGGCCTAGAATCCACGTGCCTAACCACCCACCCAGTGTTCCCTTGGCCATGCCACAGAACAGAAGCATCTCGGCTAAAGAAAGAAGTGTGAGGCTTGGAGGCAGGCTGAGCTCAAACTGCAGGTCATACTAGACAGGAGCGCCTACAGCAGAATGCTGAAAACGGTGTGGATGCGACAAAGACATTTAACTGTTTCACCCACAGTCCCAACACTTAGCTGCACAGTAAAGTTGGCCTAAAGTAGTTCTAAATGGAATTCATATCAAGCAATAAAATACACACATCATAAGCAGTATTAAAAGCAAAACATAGCAATATTGGGTTTATTGAAAGATTGCAAATAACCCAAACGCTAAATTCTTAAACAGTGAAATCAATACTGGACTTCTCTGAATTACAGTTCTGAAAAGGTGACATTTACCAGTTCATAACATATTGTGTAACTTATCCCAGACGTGAAAGATAAAGATTTACAATCTGCTTGCCAGGATGTTATTGACCGCAGTGGTTTATTTTAAGCTCATGCAATTAGCATAGGCTTACATATAGACAACGGATTTGTTTTTATTCTATAATTATAACCATCTTTTACATAGGGAAAATCCGGAAGAATGACACTTCCACTTTGCCTCAGATAGTAACACAGTCTACTGGATTTGAAGCAATCCTTCATTAATGAACCAATTTACTAAGACACCCACCTCAGAAAACCTGAGTAAGTGTACTATATTCGACAATAAAAATCAGTAAAAGATGCCTAGCAAAACTAAAATGTCAATGGAAAGATTTAATAAGTGAAAGACAGGATAGTGTTAATATTATCCTATTCTGTAAAAACAAGACGGTAGAATGGCGCTTGCCAGGGGCTGGGGGAAGGGAAATGGGGAGTTGTTCAACGGGTAAAGGTTCCAGTTATGCAGGATGAATACGTCCTACAGAAGAGCTGTATGACACACAACCTATGCTTAACAACACTGTATTGTGCACTTAAAAATGTGTTAAAGGGTAGATCTCGTTAGGTGTTCTAAGAAAGAAGGGAAAGAAAGAAGACAAAGAAATGAACAAACAGGACTTGAGGGGAGCAGTGACAGCCATGAGATGTGGGAAACGAAGGAAGGAGACCAAATTATAAATGAACACTGAGAAATTATTACGCGGGCTCGAGAAAAACTCAGAATTGGGTTGTGATTACGTAGGCTGAAGGTTCCAAGGCAAAAATAAAATTATAGAAATAAATTTCCATGGTGCATGCCCCCTAAGAAAATAAAAACTTAAATATTTGAAGTTTTTATTTACCTATATGTTGAAAGAGCACAAAAGGCTGTACCACAATTTTGTGAGACTATTAAGAGGTACAGCAGAGTGAGACAAGGAAGAAATGAGAAGATGCAGAAATGAGAATTTTTCCTTCATTCTTTATATACATACATTACTACATATGGATTTTAACTTTACAATGAGCATATGTTATAATGAAACTATTAAATATTATTAAAGTCAATGGGGCCAAATTTAATCAGAAAAGACATCTAGGACAAAATAAAGAAATCAAGAAAGGACAAAATTGGATCGATAAAGTTGATTCTAATAATCATTTTTATTCCTGTTCATCTGTAAGCATTATTCTTCAATCTT